TGGCAGATATTGCAAGTAATGGAATAGGTGAAGTTATTAAAAAGTTTAAAAGTTTTATGAGGGGTATGGGCTCAGGTTTTGATGTGTAAAGAGAGGGGGGCTACTTCCCCGGGAAAAGTAGGTCTTAACATGGATGTGTTTGCACCATAGTTTTTTTAAAATATTTATGATGGGGGTTTTAAAGAATAAGTGCTAGGGGGTTCCCGGGGGAGGGGGGGGTTAAATTTTAGGGAATTAACAAAAAAAGAAGTGACACAGTTAAAATTTTTGCTGTTACTGTGCTTTTTTTGGGGGTTTTTTAAGAAAAATTGCAAAGGTTAGTGGACGAATTTGGGGTGTGTGTAAAGGTAGAAAGTTGAAAGTGAACATAGAAAAGAGTAAGGTGATTGAGTATCAAATGATTTAGATAAAGAAAAAATGGATATCAAATTGGGGAAGAGTATGGAAGAAGTGAATGTTTTCAGATATTTGGGAGTTGACGTGTCAGCGGATGGATTTATGAAGGATGAGGTTAACCATAGAATTGATGAAGGAAAAAAGGTGAGTGGTGCATTGAGGTATATGTGGAGGCAAAAAATGTTATCTATGGAGGCAAAGAAGGTAATGTATGAAAGCATAGTAGTACCAACACTCTTATATGGGTGTGAAACTTGGGTTGTAACTGCTGCAGCGAGGAGGCGGTTGGAGGCAGTGGAGATGTCCTGTCTAAGGGCAATGTGTGGTGTGAATATTATGCAGAAAATTCGGAGTGTGGAAATTAGGAGAAGGTGTGGAGTTAATAAAAAGTATTAGTCAGAGGGCTGAAGAGGGTTTGTTGAGGTGGTTTGGTCATTTAGAGAGAATGGATCAAAATAGAATGACATGGAAAGCGTATAAATATGTAGGGGAAGGAAGGCGGGGTAAGGGTCGTCCTCGAAAAGGTTGGAGGGAGTGGGTAAATGAGGTGTTGTGGGCAAGGAGTTTGGACTTCCAGCAAGCGTGCGTGAGCGTGTTAGATAGGAGTAAATGGAGACGAATGGTATTTGGGACCTGACGAGCTATTGGAGTGTGAGCAGGGTAATATTTAGTGAAGGGATTCAGGGAAACCGGTTATTTTATTAACCGGACTTGAGTCCTGGAAATGGGAAGTACAATGCCTGCACTCTAAAGGAGGGGTTTAGGATACTGGCAGTTTGGAGGGATATGTTGTGTATTTTTATACGTATATACTTCTAAACTGTCGTATTCTGGGCACCTCTGCAAAAACAGTGATTATGTGTGAGTCAGGTGAAAGTGTTGAATGATGAAAGTATTTTCTTATTGGGTCACCCTGCCTCGGTGGGAGACGGTCGACTTGTTGATATATATATATATATATATATATATATATATATATATATATATATATATATATATATATATATATAATATATATATATATATATATATATATGCAATAAGATCACAGTAAACAGGTGATTTCAAAAATATGCAAATATGGTTGTTTTGCATATATATATATATATATATATATATATATATATATATATATATATTTATATATATATATATATATATATATATATATATATATATATATATGCAAGGAATTCGCAAGAGGCAGGCGAAATATACATTGTTAAAATCTCTAGTTGGTCGATGTATGCAGGGGATGAGATGAAAAGCTGTAAGCCTTCTCCCTGAAAGCTGGCTGCCTTGGATCAACGTCTAGCGTGAGCTGGACGTGGCCCGGTGGTCTGGTGGCTAAAGCTCCCGCTTCACACACGGAGGGCCCGGGTTCGATTCCCGGCGGGTGGAAATTCCGACATGTTTCCTTACACCTATTGTCCTGTTCACCTAGCAGCAAATAGGTACCTGGGTGTTAGTCGACTGGTGTGGGTGGCATCCTGGGGGACAAGATTAAGGACCCCAATGGAAATAAGTTAGACAGTCCTCGATGACGCACTGACTTTCTTGGGTTATCCTGGGTGGCTAACCCTCCGGGGATTAAAAATCCGAACGAAATCTTATCTTATCTGTCCAGTGGTGAGAATGGTAAAGCACTACATACCTTATTCCAAGGTTCGTAGGTTCGAGTCTCCTTCGGCCAGAGATCAGTGTTTACATATATATATATTATATTATATATATATATATATATATATATATATATATATATATATATATATATATATTATATATATATCGAGTCGAATAGGTAAAACTTGCGATTTTGGCACAGAAGTTTTTTTATAAATAAAATTTAAAAATATTCTAAAAAGATTCCCCGCGATGAGACTATGGATGAACTTAAAAATGTTACCAACTTCTGTTGTAATAATATTTACATATTTACCTTTATATAATATGTTTGATTGTAATAGTCCCACTTTAACAGGAATGAAGAAAAAACTGCATTAAGTTGTTTCACTTTTTTATATTTTTAACCAGCATTAAATGCACTTGGCATATACCTCATTAGTTACAATACTGAACGAAAAAGTAAATATTTTGAAAAAAAAAAACTAATATTGCAATTAATATGAATAATTAAATCTATACTGTGGTATCAGCTCCTTTCAATAAATGTAAAGCACGTCGTATTTTTTTGCATCTCTACGATTGCGGAAGCTTAAGGATGTTCATTGTGTCACCGCTCATACAAGTCACATGCAAGAAACTCTTAACAAAGGTGGTGGCTTGCATAAAGGTGAAAGGGGAAACACAATCAGCTCTGATTACAATGACGGATTCATTCGCTATTAAGCATGGTAGAATGTTGTGACAACCCCGCTACGAGGATATCGACTTCTTCAGAAAAACTGGTTCATGGAAGTGTCTTTGGTTTCCTGGCGGGGGTAAAAATTAGGACAATTTAGACTAGCAAAAGATGGAGAACAGGAGACGGAATAAAAGCTTCAATATTGCTGTGACCTATGATTAGGGTTTGATGAAAAACTGCAATAATAAAAGTGCAAATTTATTAATAAAAATCAGATTCCGTCTTAAAATTACAGTAAAGAATAAAATCAAGAACATTATGGCTGAAATAATTCACAACCTGCAAATTGGAAACCGAAACTGAACCACGTTGCAATCCGTCCTTAATTCAAGACTATAATGGTCGAAAGCGGACCTGAATGATGTCCCTCTCGCTTCCAATTGATGAATTAATAGTGATGTATTTCCCGGTTCATAATCCTAGTACAGTTTCCCACGCTAACATAGTGTTAATTAAACACCTTACGTTTCATATAGTCACTGGCTATGTATTTCACTTTCTGTTCATCTCTCTGTTACTTTACTAAGTCTCTGGCTTTTTGCCATTGGTGACTGACACTGGCTTCTGTCATTGCTGATTGACGCTGGCTTCTTGTGTAAGTGACTGACACTGGCTTCTCTCACCGGTGACTGACACTGACTTCTGTCCTTAGTGATTGGCACTGGCTTGTCTCTAGTGAGACACTGATGACTCACACTAGCTTCTGTCACTGGTGACTAAATTAGGATTTTCACTAATGACTGACACTTGAGTTCTTCCACACTAACTCACTCGGTGGTTGTTTACCTCTCTGTTCAACTTCACCTTTAACTGCCTCAAACAGCTTTCCTGTCAGTAAGCTCTCGTCCACTTATATATACTATAAGTTCCAGTACCAGCAAAAACAATAAATTTTTCATTTATAGCACTTACTGTGCTACGCTCACTAATGGGAGGAACTTCATTCATATCTTGTATTATCAATAGGTACAACACTTTTTTTTAACAATATTGGATACATCAGCAATGTACTACTACCCTATTCTATCTCTTCACATGTATGCCGACGGTCTTCTGACATTTATGCCAACGGTCTTTCTGCCACGGTCAGCCATAGTGCCAGCGGATACCACATTACTATCTTTAACAGACATAACTCTCTGTAGTACTGTACATCAATCGTTGCTTCTTGTTGCGCCCCATTCATAGTACACACGCCACTGAACCTATCTTCATATGACGATGACCCATGTCAGGTAATTTTTTCCCTGACGAATGCAAAATGACGTCCTATTGTATAACGAGGTATGTAGGGAAGCACATAAACACTTTCTAGGAATCCTAGATAAAAACTCTTTAAAAGTTGAGTAAGATATGATTTTTTCTCTAGTCCGGAGCCAATTCCAGTCTAGTGGATTCAAGAAGATATCTGAGGTTCAATATTCTCAAGTTCATGCAGTAACACGTAGGGACAGTGCAAATAGGGGCATCAGTTATATAGGCGGCGTGATGTGTAAGAATGATTTTATACGGCGCTGGATATATATTATTTATATAAGGGTATAAGTATTTTACAATTTTCATTGTGTAACTGTATGTTTTTTGCAAACTTTTGCAGTCAATTACATAATCATTGTAATTTACCTGTTTGAAGAGAGATGCGTTTTCTCGCTCGTATTCGACTGATAACGCTTCAGATGTTAAATATATACAAAAGTACTCAAACAATTTCTCATTTAATTTTTCCCTTTGTGATTATCTGTCTTAGGCTGAATTTTAATACCAGATTTAGTTGACAGGGGTCGTTTAAAAAATTATCAGAGATTATAATATTTTTTTGTGAAAGCTGCAAAAATAGTTTTTTTTTATTCGCCGGTACTCTCCCGGCCAAAAATCATTCTGCATATCACAAACTTAAAATAAAATTGATTTTTACCTGCGTTTGACTGGAGTCATTTATAATTGGTTATTTATTATTCTGTCAATGCTAAGTTGGTTTCGATGCAAATTAGAAAGACATAATGTGTTAAATATTGTGTTATGTGAATATTTAGATAAATACATTTGGATTGCTCATTGTTTTTCTTTGGGAAAGGTAGCTTGATCCATCATAATTTTGATTTCCTCTTTTCATATAACGCTGGCTATAGGAACGAGCAATTGCTTTAAAATAAATATATCTTCAAAGGGAAAGACTGATAGTATGTCTTCAAAAAAATGTTAGTAATATGTCAATGTTGAAAAATTTGTATATCTTATTTTTATTATAATTTAACAATACATTGATTACTCCCAAGTGTCATCGTCCACTGTTGACATCCTAGTGCTGCTTAGCTGGACACTTGTGCATCAAAGACTATATAGCACCTCACTCCTCTGCACAAGCTGGCTTTCAACTAAAGAAGCACAATGATCTGTTTGTTAATGTATTCCATAACCGTATCCTCCGTTCTTGGCCTTGGCCAATGCCTTGGCTGCTGCTGCCTCGGCCTGGGCTGCTGCCTGGTTTGCCTTTTGCAAGTCATTGAGAGCCAGATTTTGTTGTTGGTTAAGGGAATATGCGGCTTGCTGTGCCTGCCAAGCCATGGCGGCCTGGGCTGCCCTTACAGCTCTGGCAGCCACCAGGGCCTGGTAGGTCTCCTCCACGATGCCTCGGGCCTCTGCAAAAGCGGCATCTATGTCGTTGACCGTCTGCACCGCCAGGTTGTAAGTGTTCTCAGCTTCTTGCTCAGCGGCTGCCGTCTTTGTAGCCATTAGAGCTTCTGAGAAAGCTGCGGCCTGTGCTCCCTGGGCGGCGGTAGTGATTTGTGCAGCCTGAGACTGTTTATCGGCTGCTGCAGCTTGAGCTGTTTGTGCTGCTGCCGATGAAGCGGCGGCAGCTTGATTGGCAGCAGCTCCTGCAGCTGCGTTGGCAGCTCCAGGAAGACCCGCAGCAGCTGCAGTAGCTTGATGTGCAGCTTGGTTGGCAATATCAGCAGCACTAGGACCGTGACCACCGCCGCCACCCGCACCAACAATCAGGTAGCCGCCACCCCCAGTACCATAGCCAGCGCCGCCATGGCCGCCATAACCTTGTCCAGCACTGCCATACCCACCGCCCCGCTTCTCCTGTGGTGCAATAGTTAAGAGACTAACTTTAGTTACATCATTTACACAACTTATTTTATAATGTATAAAGGTAAAAAACCTGTGCAACAACTTACGTTATTTTTAATACAAAAAAAATAGAAGATCGCTAATATATCAAGGTTTTGATCCGAAGAGTTTACCGTTATCCATATTTATTACTCTTCACTGTTAGTGCACATGTAATAACAAACTTAATATCACACGTGCAGTCGATAAGCTTTAAACCTAACAAACTAACTAACTTTTCATCAGAGTTTCGAAGTGTCATAAGATCATGATGCTCACCCGGGCTTGCTCCTTGCTCACTGCCATACCTGCACACAGAGAGACAATTTAATGACAACAGCAAGTCTGAAATGTACTTAGAAAGAATCCTAAAGTATGTAATATACTGAACCAGGTGAACTTATAAAGTCTTTCCTATAATAGCCAGCCAGCAGCAACAGAATTTTTTATCATTAATTAAACGGGACTAATTAAAATTGAACTATGGTAATTTAAGAAAAATTACGAGTGATAAACGATAACGAAGAGGTGGAAAATAATAAATGTTTGATAAGTGATCATATATTTTGTTTGTCGCTAAGAAGCTTCAAACTCACCGACACAGAGTAAGACTACAAACGTCTTAACTGCAGCCATGCTGGGCAGAGTTTGGGCCTTGTGTGTCGGCCGCGGCGCATTGCTCGCCTTTTATAGCCGCACCGAGTACCATTATGCTTTTTTTTTTTTATCAGAATTAGGCACAACCGCATCGTGCGGCTTCTTTGAGCTAAATGGCATTTTACAAGGTTAAGCCAAGGAATAACTATAATTACCTAACACATTTATTACACTGGAGGGTATTTCTCTTATGCTCTCTCATACAGGATGGATTTCATACAAGAGGTAATGAAATCTGTCAGCCAGAGCTGGAAGACTTTAGTAGGGTAATATGAATACTGCCGAGCATTCCACTATGGGTTCAGTACCTACGGCAACTTTGAAGAAATCCTTCCACGATGGAATAAGCAAGACAGGAAGCAACTTGTTCTCAGGTTGGGCTGTCTCGAATCAGAGAACAAAAGAGACCTATTGAGATCACTTGATGCTACTCTCAATGCCAGGGAAAGTCTTTTTTATTTACTCATTTAAATGGCTGGTTAAGAAATGTGTGGTCATTCTGTTTTTATTGGAATACAGCTGATGGCTTAAACTTTATTGTGATGTAGCGAATTCGAAAGCAATGTTTTACGATTATACTTGTTGTACAACACGTACAACATATATATATATATATATATATATATATATATATATATATATATATATATATATATATATATATATATATATATATTATATATATATATATATATATATATATATATAAATATATATATAATATATATATATATATATATATATATATATATATATATATATATATATATATATATATATATATATATATATATATATATATATATATATATATATATATATATAATATATATATATATATATATTACCATATATGTGATATGGTAAATAATTCTTCACTTGGTGTAGTAGTCTCAGTTCTATAAGAATAGTGATGTATTATCTTTCATTACCCGAGATCAGTGGTAGCACTGGATCCTTTCATAGACATTACAATGCTCGCACTCCAGCAACATGTCAAATTTCGAAAACTACTCGCATCCACTCCGATCTAACACTCACACATGCCTGCTGGATGCTCCAGACCCTTACCTCTCAAAACCTTAATTTACTTCCTTTAATCCTTCCCGGAACGTCTCCTGCATTTTCTTTCCTTTACCACAAAATTATATACCTTAATCTATCTTGCATCATTTGTTCAATATGATCAATCCATCTCAACAGTTCTTTCACCATAGGATGTTTACTTTTCTTACAGGACACCGACTTCCAATAGTTTCTTTCCATATTCTCTGCATAACATTCACGTTAAGCATTAATTTCAGACACGATATCTCCATTGCCTCCAGCCTGCTCTCTGCTTCAACATTCCAAGAACAAACAACAAACCCAAATAAAATCGTCGGCACCACAATACTCCGATAAATTAACATTTGTGTATCCACTGACAAACTTCTTTTTTTCCACAGTTTTCTTAGCACTTATACTACTTATTTTCCTTATCTAGTTTATGAATATCACGATCTTTCATGATGATACATCTAAGTATATTTATGTTCTCCATACTCTTTCCCTCCACACTATCAATTATGTCATTGCCTAAACTTTAAATTGGTCTCATTAACTTGCTCGTTTCTGTGTACGGTTCAGCTTTTCCCTTTTTACACACCCTTTCAAGCTCCGACAATTTCTGCCAATATCTGAATCTCCTTAAAATATAGTGTCATCAGCAAGTGTGAAAACTTATATTAAACAACCAGGATGAGATCACACAACCTTGCTCAGGGTTCACTCTTAATGGAGAATATTCTTTTATCACTCCTACATCTCTTAACCTGAACTTTACTCTCATCAAAAATTATTTACAGCTTTTACAAACTTCACACCAACCACATCACTCCTTCACCACCTTATTATGTGGAAGTCGTGTGATAGGGTGGATAAATGCAACAGCTTTGTCTCTCTTATATAAATACTGTTTGCCATATACTTGGCTTGATAGGGCTGGAGCATATTGAATGTACATGGGTAATTAAGCATGCAAATAACCTGTACACCACCAATGAAGAATACTTACCTAAATGTAGATTAAAACATATTCTGTGTATATACACTAAGAGATATACACTTCTCAGTATTTTAACCCTGGTTTACCTGTACAGTATCGAAACTGGATCCACCTTCTTTCATGACATACACAAATGGACCAAAGTAGTCCACATGCATTTTCGCACGAAAACTGATGGTGACAATTCCCTGTCTGAAACAATAGCTTAAAAAAGAAGTTATTGCTAACTTGGTTCATTGGCAATTGTGAATAAGAATGATATTTTTGTAATTCGATATCTGTAAAATTTTGTCTGGCTTCCGTTTGGATTTTATGCACTAGATATATATAATTACATATTTAATTAAAATATATAATTTTTGTTATGTGATAAACAAGAATTCATTGTTTTTACCATGTTCGTTTTTATTTTAGACCTTTTTTTTAGAAAGCGTAAATTCATAATGCATTTACGCAGTAGGTTTCCAGAGCATACACGGAATACCTTTTAGGTATGCATAGGGGATCCAATGATCACGTGCTGAACTTCTGTTGTTAATTCAAGAACAGAATACAATCCTCTTATTTTGTGCCCATTGTAGTGTTTTTTTTTTTTTAACAAATTACCTTATCATGCCTTTCCGGATAATTTGATATTCAAGTCTTTAAGATAATTCTGAAATTAAGTTTCATACTGGTGCATGTAACACTGGTTGATGAGGGCCACGTTAGGTGACATGATCTAAAATGTACCTCACAGAGATCAATCTCATAAACTGAACTTGCTCATTTGTAACTGTTTGTGTAATAATTTAATGTATGCGTAAAAAGAACACAAAAAAAATGAAAATAACTTTTCTAGTTAACACTGCTTTCAGATCTGTCATTTGATAATTCAGGGCATAACCCAGTAGTACCACTTTCAGTTATCTTGAGTTTAGACGCATCAGTTTTATATTGATGTGGACTAAAGCATAACGGTTAATCATATTACACAACTCTATACAAATTAATATATCTTCTGAAATATGCTTGAATAGGTTCATCACGCCGCGGTAAAAACATTGAACTAAATTCAATATAAATATTGTTGTACGTGTTAGTACTGTTACTATTGTTATGACCCAGTTTAGCAAATAGATCATGTTAATTTGACAATAACTAACAAATCTTTAATTACATCATTAATTTACATATTACATTCTTCGCCAGGCTTTGATTGATGAAACAACAAGGAACATAGGCCTTCCTGGTATCCTGTCCTTCCTTAATGAAAATTGCAGGTATGAGTCCTGTACATCACTCAGACATGGTAAACGGGTAGAGGGTAAGTACTAGGATTTATTTTAGCGTTTTATACATGGGAAAAGAAAGTAAATCAGTTACTCCGTAACTGATTTACTTTTTTCTTAATTGTGATTGATTAGCTGATTTGCTGGGTTTATTAATTATACATTTAAAAATGTGGTTTATATGTGACGTATTGCTGGTATTACCTGGAGAGTTTACCTGGAGAGAGTTCCGGGGGTCAACGCCCCCGCGGCCCGGTCTGTGACCAGGCCTCCTGGTGGATCAGAGCCTGATCAACCAGGCTGTTGCTGCTGGCTGCACGCAAACCAACGTACGAGCCACAGCCCGGCTGATAATAATGTAAGATTTGAGAGTTGTGAAACATATTTGTTCTTTGTATATTAACAATATTCCTACTTCATGGTACCTTAGTGTAAAAGGTTTGGCATAATCTGCAGTCTACACAAAATATGCGGTAATCCTTCATATATAATAGCAAATAAATAAGCTACTTAAATTAGTTAAGTAGCAGTAATGGTAGTCTCCAGTAACGTCAAACAACCTCTGTAGCATTAAAAGAAAGTGCGTGTGCCCTTATCTAACATTTATTATATTACACAGTTGAATTTCTTAACCTGTAAATTAAAAACATTTTTCTTTATCTTGGTATTTATTGGTCAAGAAACTCGTTTACTTAACTAGTGAAATAGAATCTACGTTTGAATGTACATTACAGGAGAACATCTCACACCCGTTACTTAGCCTCAAGCCCTGCGTAAATTAAATGGGTATACAATTAAAGTGTGCTTGTTTACAGAAGACAACGTAATTTCAAAATATCTGATCCCCAGGAAGGCCTCCGTCTTGCATACATTCATATACACATCAGCGGTAATAAAGAAAATACATTATTGCATCTGTTAGCAACACTTATGTTCCCTCCATGTGGGTATGAGAGGTCCTGCTGTATTTTTCTGTACAAATACAGGTTACTGACTCAGTGGTAGCTGCTGCCACCGTAGCCACCACCACCCTTGGCCTTGTGGAGGGCCTTGGACGATGCTGCCGTAGCCTGCGCAGCTGCAGACTGTGCTTCTTGCAGGTCATTCACAGATAAGTTCTGTTGCTGATTGAGGGAGTTGGCTGCTTGTTGAGCCTCCCAGGCCATGGCTGCCTGCGTGACGCGCACTGCGCGTGCGTGCTGTAGCGCCTGGAAGGTCTGAGTGACTACTGCCTGAGCTTCAGCGTGTGCAGCGTCTATGTCATTTGTTGTCGCCACTGCCAAGTTATACGTGTTCTTGGCTTCCTGCTCAGCAGCAAGGGTCTGCTGAAGCTTGGCTGCCTCGGAGAAGGCTGCGGCTTGGGCACCTTGGGCAGCTTGTGTCACCTGTGCTGCCTGGTTGAGCTTGCTCGCCGCAGCAGAGTGAGCTGTTTGAGCTGCAGCTGATGAAGCAGCGGCTGCCTGACTAGCTGCGGCACCATACGCGGCAATGGCAGCTCCTTGTTGACCTGCGGCTGCGGCAGTAGCTTGATTAGCAGCCTGATTCGCCACCTCAGAAGCGAATGGTCCATGGCCAGCGCCGCCGCCAGCGCCTACCACCAGGTACCCAGTGCCACCGCTACCATAAGCACCTCCACCATACCCGCCACCATACCCACGCTTCTCCTGTAGTGTATATAAAATATTTTATGACGATTGCAGATTTAAACAGCAACAATTATTATACTTATATAAATATTAGTTATATCAATAATTTTGAAAAATATAATCAGAAAAATTTATCATAATATTAAGAAGAAACAAAAATAATTGCAGCTTTCATTGTGGAAGAAACTGATTCTAAGAGAACATGAAAATTAACAACTCTTCCTAGAACATAAGACAACACAAAAATGTATAGCAATTCCAGTGCCTTTGAACATTATGCTGCAGTCTTCTTCAAGGAAAATTGCTGATTCAGTTATAATTGTTGCTTAAGTAAGGAAACGTTAAGCACTGCAATAAAATAAAATAAATTAAAAACTGCTAAATTTTATCACGGAAAGGTCACAAATTGAGAAAGAAAATCCTACTATGTAATGTCAGGAAGAAGGTCAGGAAGTACAAGACTCGGGGACTGCAAATATCACGCCAAACTTCAGAAAGTACAGAACTTGACCTGACCTTTTTAGCCTGTATATTTAACTTTCCTAAAATCTTTATTTTTTTTACCTGTGTTCCTCCTCATTCGAGAGAATAATGATCCAGAACTGATCGAAATGACTTCCGGTTTTCAGTTTTTCATTTTGTGAGTTTGTTATTAGTTGCAGTCACGGTGTTGGGACTTATATTTCCTTGATAAGTTATATATTATGACAATACTAACTCTGCATAATAACGCAGGTAAATCCATCCAATCATATAGGACTGGTGATACCATATATGATACACTCTTCTTTCTGCAATTTGCTCCATAATTGTATATATATATATATATATATATATATATATATATATATATATATATATATATATATATATATATATATATATATATATATATATATGTCGTGCCGAATAGGCAGAACTTGCGATCTTGGCTTAAATAGCAACGCTCATCTTGCCATATAAGACAAGTGAAAATTTGTGTATGCAATAATTTCGCCAAAATCATTCTGAACCTAACGAAAAAAATATATTTCACTGTGTTTGTTTAATATTAAATTATTGTAAACAAATCTAAAATATATTTAGTTGGGTTAGGCTAAAATAAATTGTTCTTGTTATAATAAGGTTAGGTAAGTTTTATAAGATACTTTTGGTGCAAAATTATAATTTTTTACATCAACATTAATGAAAAAAATATATCTTTAAACGTATAAGAGAAAATTTTAGAAATGACTTAATTTTAAATGAGTTCTTGCTAATTGACCAGTTTTACATATTCGGCACGACATATATATATATATATATATATATATATATATATATATATATATATATATATATATATATATATATATATATATATATATATATATATATATATATATATATATATATATTAACACATCGGCCGATTCCCACCAAGGCAGGGTGGCCCGAAAAAGAAAAACTTTCATCATCATTCACTCCATCACTGTCTTGCCAGACGGGTGCTTTACACTACAGTTATAAAACGGCAACATTAACACCCCTCCTTCAGAGTGCAGACACTGTACTTCCCATCTCCAGGACTCAAGTCCGGCCTGCCGGTTTCCCTGAATCCCTTCATAAATGTTATTTTGCTCACACTCCAACAGCACGTCAAGTATTAAAAACCATTTGTCTCCATTCACTCCTATCAAATACCCTCACGCATAATATATATATATATATATATATATATATATATATATATATATAATATATATATATATATATATATATATATATATATATATATATATATATATGTGTGTGTGTGTGTGTGTGTGTGTGTGTGTGTGTGTGTGTGTGTGTGTGTGTGTGTGTGTGTGTGTGTGTGTGTGTGTGTGTGTGTGTGTGTGTGTATGTGTGTGTGTGTGTGTGTGTGTGTGTGTGTGTGTGTGTGTGTGTGTGTGTGTGTGTGTGTGTGTGCATAATTTTACATTATGTACATCAGCACGTAACCACCAGCCCATATAAACTGTAAATTACTGACTGATGTTTCCTCAAATGCTACGAAATTAATTTGTTTTTTAATTCTTAAGTTATTCGGAACGTTTATTAGGTAATCAATGGACCATTTAACTGAAAGTCAGAATATATTTAGTGAGTCTTTTATATTTCTGCATACCACGATATTATACTCACTATATGTATAACTGGAAAACTTTAATATATTGTAACAGACTAGCATTTCAAATATGGATTTCCTGAAGTACTTACGCGAACAAGTTCCTGTTCAGCGTCCTCTGCCAGAGCCACTCCTGTAAGCACAATACAACATACTGGGTTTAGTGTCTTTAATATTGATCGACGAGAAATCACAAACCACTTACAAAACTGAAACACAGGTAAGAAGAGATCTGCATATTTAAACCTCAGTCAGAGACTCTCTTCAGCAGGTCTACTGAAGTGGGTCTTTTTTACTTGTGCTGCAGAATTCTGCTCAAGTCGTTTCACAATGTAACATGCTTATCTAAATACAAAAAAAAAATATTTGTTTATATGAAATGCTAACATTCTGATCGAAACTGTTGAATTACGCGAGGTTCAGTTTCCATCCGCTGCTCACCTAAACAGAGGAGAAGGACAATGGTCTTGAAATCAGCCATAGTGGAAGGTGGCTGAGTGTGATGTGACGCTCCTCAGCACTGCCTTTCCTTATATACTTTCCGACAAGTCATGCACCGTGAGCCTACACTGAAAGAACTCTTTGTGCATTTTTAATGGAACACTTTCAGTGTGGTGAATGATGACGCAAGAGTTCTGTTTACAGCCCTTATCTTCTCAGAATGCAAAAGTTTCAATATGATAAACAAGTACTTCATCTCGATTTTTTAAACAGTTGCTCACTTATTTGTGGTTGCAGGAGTCGATTCACAGCTCCTGGCGCTGCCTCTTCGCTGGTCGCTAGTAGGTCCACTCTCTCTCCCTGTTCTATGAGTTTTATCGTACCTCTTCCTAAAGCTATGTGTGAATCCTGCCTCCACTACATCACTCTCCAGATTGTTCCACTTCCTGACAACTCTGTGAATGAAGAAATATTTCCTAACATCCCTGTGACTCATCTGAGTTTTCATCTTCCAGCTGTGACCCCTTGTTGCTGTGTCCCATCTCTGAAACATTCTGTTTCTATCCACCTTGTCAGTTCCTCTCACTATTTTATATGTCGTTATCATGTTTCCCATATCCTTCCTGTCCTCCTGTAGGACATGCCCCTTAGCTCCAGGACTTGTGTTGTTGCAAACCTTTGCACTTTCTCTAATTTCTTGATGTGCTTGACCAGGTGTGGGTTCCATACTGGTGTTGCATACTCCAATATGGGCCTGACGTACACGGTGTACAGTATTTTGAATGATTCTTTACTCAGGTGTAGAAACGCTATTCTTAGATTTACCAGGCTCCCATATGCTGCAGCAGTTATTTGGTTGATGTGAGCTTCAGGAGATGTGCTCGGTATGATACTCACCCCAAGATCCTTTTTCTTAAGTGAGATTTGCAACGTTTGGCCTCGTAGCCTGTACTCCGTCTGAGGTCTTCTTTGACCTTCCCCAATCTTCATTTAGTGGGGTTAAACTCCAGGAGTCGGTTACTGGACCAGGCTTGCAGCCTATCCAGATCCCTTTGTAGTACTACCTGATCCTCTTCCGTTTGAATTTTCCGCATTAGCTTCACATCATCTGCAAACAATGACACCTCCGAATCTAACCCATCCGTCATGTTATTTACATATACCAGAAAGAGTACCGGCCCTAGAACTGACCCTTGTGGAACCCCGCTCGTCACAGGCGTCCACTGCGACACTTCGTCACGTGCCATCACTCATTGTTTCTTTCCTGTCAGGTATTCTCTGAGCCATTGCAGTGCCTTGTATATGGATATGACGTACTTTATCGGAGACAGCTACATCAAATTAACTTTTTTTTTTGTAAAAATGGCTTAAAAAACTGACAAGTTGATAAATGAGACACTTGTTTCCAGAATAAAGTATCCAAACGTTGCTCAAGTGACTCATTTATCACCCTATTGACCCCTCAAGGAAGGTTCCTTTACGCTGGTGAGGGGCTCTTATTCTAGGGATCTGGATCTGTGCTCCAGTTCTCTGAATTGAGCCTGAATACCTTCTATCCCCCCAACAGGCTCTGTAAAATTCCTACGGGTTCAGCGCTCCCCGCATGATTATAACAATAATAATAATAATCACCCTATTGACTTGTCTAGCTGCCCCTAGTCAAAAAAGGCATATTATAAAGTCCTTTACCTAACTAACCAAGTGATGCATATACCATCCACATTGCCACGCACATGACCTATAATTTACTCGTAAGTGCCAAAAATGTTTTTTTTAATAAACACAATATACATATATATATATATATATATATATATATATATATATATATATATATATATATATATATATATATATATATATAATATATATATATATATATATATATTATAATATATATATATGTGTGTGTGTGTGTGTGTGTGTGTGTGTGTGTGTGTGTGTGTGTGTGTGTGTGTGTGTGTGTGTGTGTGTGTGTGTGTGTGTGTGTATTGAAGGTTACGGTTACAGTTTCTAATCATTAATATAATTTAATTTAATACAATTCTCATTTCACAAGTGAATCTTACAAAATTTGACTCACGCTCAAGTTTATGAATTAATGGGGTACAATGAGGCAACTTCTGAAACAACTTTAAAATTTTTGGAGATGTTTCATGGTTTATAAATTTAGATTCCTTTCCTTTAATCTTGCTGGAACGTGACCAGTGGGAGCCACAACTTACTCTCCTTTCTCTCCTATTTTCTCTTTTTGTTCCTTTCTTTTCTCAATTCTTCATTTTTTCCATTTCCGTTTCGTGTAAATAATTGATAATATATTCGGATCCTTCCACATTAACCATTCAGATTAACGAGCTAGAGAACAATTGCCTATTTTTTAATGTTATGACCTTATTCAGCTTGACTAGCTGGTAGTATATGTCAGCCATTAAGTATTTATGCTTCACCAGTAACTGGGTACCTTCTAAGTCTGAGAGGCGGCATTCTGTATATTAAAAAAGTGGAATATGTATTGTAGCATTCAGTTAAAATTCAGAAAGGATAATGCAAACAAAAAAGGTTCTTCCTTTATGATCAGTTTAGTTTTATTAGAGTAATTTATTATTTCCCCTCTATATTACTGTATTTTTTACACATGAATATATGTTAGATTACACTCTCGTTGAGAAGCCAACAGAAGGTGGCAGCAGCGAAGTTAATTCTCTGGCTGGGTTGTGAGAACATGGCTCTGTAACCCAACGGTTCCTTTCACTTAGTGTCTGCCTGGTATTCTACCACTGACAAAAACTCTCGCTAGTGATGTTTCTTATTCTTTCCGAGACTGAACAAAACAACAAGCTATAAAAGTTTCATTGCTGGCTGAATAAAACTATTTTACTATGATATATTCTGAGACACTAGATTCGAGTAGGACTATGTTCAGGACAGCATACTACTGCTGCATATTCTAATTGTTGTGAATACAATACTACCTTTGTATATTCTAATTTTGGCTTAACGCAAGTTGTGAACAGTTTTGATTAAGGTTTCTCCAGTCACATACGAGTAACTAAAGGATATTTTCATGTCTATGAAAGTATGATATAAATTTCTCAAGATTTCACTTACGTGATCTTCCGGTGACGATCTTTGGTCTAGAATTACTCCTGAATCCCACTTATTGTTGGATGCTTTCAATACTGTATCACAATACAGCATATAATCTTCAAGTAAACTGTTGTCATTTTCTCTCACTTCTCGACCCCCAAAAAATCATAATCTATATGTCGCTGTATTTACTCAAGTCATTTTATAGAAATTTACACTAATTTATATTACTTATTTTATATGGGATTTTTACTTGAAAGGGTCGACCCTCGACTGCCGTCCCCACATCTTCAGTGTTTTTCGATTGTCGCTACTTGCATCTGATCTCTTGACCAGACTTTGCCTCCGCTACTTCTACACCTAGTTCACACCACTTCCATACTAACCTTAGACTAAAGAAATAATTCTCAACGTGCCTGTGGATCATCTGTGTTTTTAGTTTCCAACTTTGTCCCTTGTTCTTGGTCCTCTCATTTAAAACAAACTGTACCTATCAGTCTTAACCATTCCTCTGAGTATCTTGCTTATTGTAATTATTGTTTGCTTAGTCTTCTACTCTTCCAAAATTGTTGGGTTTAGTTCCTCATAATGGATACCCTTCATTCCTGGAACTAGTATGTTTGTAAACATTTTGATCTTCACAAGCTTCTGATCATACTCCATTAGGTGGGTACTCCAGGCCGATGATGCAGTCTCAGAGGGGCTTAACATAAGATGAGCAGAGTCCAGTAGGATTCCTTACTGAGGTTTCCTGAATGCTATTCTTAGATTCGCTGCTCAGGCATAAGCCGTGAAAATTTTACAACGGGTGTACTTCATCTAATACGCAACTCATTTTTTCGACGTTAGTAATTCCTTTCTTCTCAGCTTCTCAGTTTGTGTTCGGTCACTGTGCTCTGCAAATTCTACGACGGAACACCATTTTTCCCTCCCAAGTTTGTATTCGTTTCTGGTCTTCAGTCTCCTTCCCTGAATTGCATATGACCACTTACTTATATGACTGGAACTCCAAAACCACTTGTTTAACCTCTGCATCTTTTATGAGTCTTCCTGGAGGTCGTTGCTGTTCTTTCGCTTTTGTATTCTCAATAGTTTCGCATAATCTGCAGAGGCTCAGGATTCAGTTCCTTCTGGCAGTTCATTAACATTTATTAACAACAGTAGTGACCTTAGTGCTGATCGTAGAAGTACTTCACTTGTTATCTTGACTCATTTTGCAATCTGTTCTCCAATTTGGGCAGAGAGTTTCACACGAATTGCCCTTCGTGTATTTCTGAATACGCATGAAATTCTCTGTTAGGTTAGGATAAGTTAGGTTAGGTTAGGATAGTCTCGGTTAGGATAATTTAAGTTAGAATAAGTTAGGTTAGGTTAAGATGCATTACATTACGTTATGTTACATTACGCAGCGTTTGATTAGGTCAAAGTATAATTACCTATATTTCCATCTAGTTACCTAACACTAACCAAATTAAAAATGAAGAATGACTTCAGTCTTACAGCGCGGGGTAGTGCGAGTCATAGATCGACATTACATACATATAAGCATTTTCACACGCACAGTAAAAAATCTAGAGGAAGGCTGCATCCTGACATTTCTTGTACCATTCCTGTTTGTCTAGTCTTTATATACTGCTTGGTCTATTGGTGGATTTTTTTTCTTTTACCCCCACTTCCTCTTCTAGCTTGTAGAGCAATTTCTAGTAGTGGGGAACTTTGCCTGTGGCTTTATCGCGAGCGAGGAATAGGAAGTCCACCCATCTATGACTGTTTATCTCGGAAACTGTCATAGAAATTCACAAGGTTCGTCAACAGGATCCTCATTCCCTGAATCAACGGTGGTTTACACTAACGGAACCTCTCTTCTCCAGACGCTCTAGCAGGCTCCTCCTGACAATCTACTCCATTACTTTGGAAAGGATACATCATGTTAGTAACACTAGCCTGTAGTTCAGTACTCCTTGTATGCTCCCTTCCCTTGTTAATTATAGTGATTTCACTAGGCGTCTTCATGCTATCCGATAGTTATCCTATCTCTACCAATTTTTTGAAGATCTTAGGTATGCCAGGTCCCATGGCTGAAGTTGTCTCTAATTTCAATAATATCTTTCTAACTTTTGGATTGTGATGTGTATATCTTCTAGTATAAGATGATCTGTACTGACTACTATGGTCCCAAACATTTTTTTTTTTTTTAACTTTCTGAATACCTCCAGGTATTGTAGGTTTAGGTTTAGTTCTTCACAAACATCTCTGCCGTCTACTGTGAGTATTTCTCCTTCCCTCTTGTCTTATCATTTGGTCCTTTACAATAATTTTCTTTTCAATTTATGATTCTTATTTAGTATTTTTGACTACATAATTTTCAAAATATCTCTCAGTTTCCCTACCTACCCATACATAATCGTTCCTAGCTCCTCTGCTGGCGAATCTGTTTTTTTCTGTCCTCTTTCCCCTTTATGTCATCCTCTCTCTCTTTTGTTCTTTTGGCCTTCCTGTGAAGCCTCATTTCTTATTTCATCTGGTTGTGTGCCCGTGTGTGTATACTCACCGAGCTGTCCTCGTCGAGTTGTTGGCTGGGATCTTTTTCAGTTCTTGGCAATGCCTCTCAACCTTCAGTTTGCCGACATTACTAATTCCTGCCCTCTTGGGCCCTATCATACTTACGTTTGGTGTTGTATAAAGAATTGGCATCCACCACTTCCTCTGAATCAATACAGCTGCACGGATTGTGCGGAAAGCAAAACATATTATAAGTGCCCAGGGAGAGATATGAAAATGGTGATGCATAAAGGCTGGTGGTAGTGGGCTGCTCTTCAGGAAACATGACGTTGTCTAATGACATGGAAATTTGTCATGGAAAGACTCCTTAGTTTCTAAGCATCAGCTAGCGTGCTGCACTAGGTTTTTCAATCCAGTTAAAAAACAAAACAAAACAGGATAACCATGTAGGATCCTAGGATATATATATTATTAAGAAAGATATTTAGCAATTTGTGCCTGTTTTGAAATTTCGTCAATAGCTTTCTTGAGATCCCTAAAAATATTGCCATGCGTAATTAAAAGGATGTGACTGAAGAATGAAGCAGTTCCGGAAATAGAATGACCTGGGCGAATTTAATTATGTTTTGTTACGCTAACTTATTGTTAATTTTAAATCTTTAAAATTATTATTATTATTATTATGAAGAAGATGGAGAAGAAGAAGAAGAAGAAGAAGAAGAAGAAGAAGAAGAAGAAGAAGAAGAAGAAGAAGAAGAAGAAGAAGAAGAAACGTTGATAAATGACAAATGATACACTTAATTTCAAGAAAGTACAATTTACAATTGATTCAAGAATAGTAAGCATCAATGATGAACTTTATATAGAGTCCCTAGTTATGCAGAGCATTTCGAGCAGCCTTAAAATATACTTACAACTACAGGACAAATAATTAATTTCGTTTACAAGAATGCTAAAGTTTGCAATCTTTGACACTAATACTTTAGTTTATGATTATGACGTTGATATTTTTCAGTTTTTCTGACGTTCGAGCGGTTATTACAGATGCTGCTCAAATACAAACGCAAATACTAATCTTTATTTCAATATTACTGCACAGGACAATAATCGGGGGCTAAGGGTCTAATACACAATATTAATAGGAACTTAAAAATAAATACAAGTTACAGGTTAACTCGTAAAAAAATCACAATAATAAAATATAAGTTTCAAGTTAAGCAAGGCGGGTAGTAATAGTAACTTATATTCCAGTACAATATAATGAGATAGTGTAGTCCTATCTAATAATATATGGACGTGGAAAGAAAGCTGAAGCAAGAATATGGACAGGATTAGAAGAAAACAGCAGGTTTTAAAATGTTTATTGTAGTATATTGCTGTCATGATCACATAAAGATAAAGAGATACTTTTTAACAGTAGCTTTGAAATGGTTGGCAGATAGGGAGCTTTCGGAATCTTCAGGCAGAAGTTCTTGAAGTTCCTTTTATGTGCACTGAGTTTTTACACAGGCTGAGTCGAACCTCTAGGGGTCATAGAGTGCCTGGAAAACAGAAATCAACTGGGTACGATCTGAAGAAGGGAAGAGTGACTCTAATTCCTTAGATCACGAGCCTTTTACCAGCATCATGGCACCGTCCATAAACATAAGTGTAAATCTTTAAAAGAGGCCATCTATAATTTTGTAAGGAAGACTGGTGTTTCTCTCAAAGTTAGCATGTATACTGATGAGTTGATGCGTACTAACTAGTTGACGTATACTGATGAATTGATGTATATTAACGAGTTGATGAATACTAACGAGTTACAGTGCGTTGTAAACGGGGAGTTGTGAAAATCTGAAACCTTCCAAAACACTACATCTGGGCATCTTTTTCATAAGTACAGGTCTGTTATCCAAACGTTTGGGTGTGGTCAGGATAGTACGTCAAATATTAGAGAGCAGATTTTAAATAAAGAAAAATATTGTTGGATTAGGGAGGTATGGGTATTAACGGATATGTGACTTTATATAATATACAGTAATGTAGAGTTTATTATAAACATGTGACCAAATTGATCTGCATTCGCGTCTATGCCTTATTTCAATACACTGTAACTTAATGTGTTCTCCCCTTCAGTACCTTTGTAACTTGCTCAGCTATCAAAACTTTGGGGCCTAGTCCCTGGACCCATTGTATGCCTCTGTAATCTTTTGACTGCCGCCCACAGGATGGGTATGGGGTACATAAAGATATTAAACTAACTAACCCTTCAGTCTATGGTAGTAAAACTAATTTTCCTTGGCAATCTTTATTATTATATAACAGGGATATTTTCATATTATGTGTGACAGTGTATTTACACTAGTATAACACATTGTCATAATTACACTCAGATGAAGTGTCTTCATAAACGTACGAGACAGCTAAGAGCTGTGTTGACAAGAGATGCAATACGCTGGTCAGGTGTCGCTGGTTCTTTATATTCACGTAAAATTGAATGACAAAATCATATACACAACGAATACTTGTATTTTTGACTAGTTATGTGTGTTCAATAGTTTAAATACAAGAATTAGCGAGTGGTGTGGTTATGAAATACAGCGGTGAAAAGTGCCTTAGTGCAGTCCTCCATGTCCATAATCTCTGTTTTTGGACTTGGACAACGCCTTGGCTGCTGCTGCCTCGGCCTGGGCAGCTGCTTGGTTAGCCTTCTGCAAATCGTTGAGGGCCACGCTTTGTTGCTGATTAAGAGAATAAGTTGCTTGCTGTGCCTGCCAAGCCATAGCGGCCTGGGCTGCCCTTACAGCTCTGGCAGCCACCAGGGCCTGGTAGGTCTCCTCCACGATGCCTCGGGCCTCTGCAAAAGCAGCATCTATGTCGTTGACCGTCTGCACCGCCAGGTTGTAAGTGTTCTCAGCTTCTTGCTCGGCTTTTGCGGTCCGTGTTGCCAGAGAAGCTTCAGTAAAAGCTGCGGCCTGTGCTCCCTGGGCGGCGGTAGTGATCTGTGCAGCCTGAGACTGTTTATCGGCTGCTGCAGCTTGAGCTGTTTGTGCTGCTGCCGATGAAGCGGCGGCAGCTTGATTGGCTGCAGCTCCTGCAGCTGCGTTGGCAGCTCCAGGAAGACCCGCAGCAGCTGCAGTAGCTTGATGTGCAGCTTGGTTGGCAATATCAGCAGCACTAGGACCGTGACCACCGCCGCCACCCGCACCAACAATCAGGTAGCCGCCACCCCCAGTACCATAGCCAGCGCCGCCATGGCCGCCATAACCTTGTCCAGCACTGCCATACCCACCGCCCCGCTTCTCCTGTGGTGCAGCAGAATAGAATAAAGCTTCGAGGATTTATTAATATATATGAACATCATAATATATAAAACTTCATCACTTCCTTAGTTTCTTTAATATTTCAATTAAATTTTTATTAAGACCACAAATAATTTTCAATAAATTATGTAGGGGTCTAATTGTTATTTGATGCATGACTTTATATAATCAGAGATTTTATTTACATTTATGCTGTTAGTAGTCGCACTGATAGATAACAGTATTTTTCTACTCTCACTAGCTGTTTAGTCAGCAGCACTCTTGAAGACAAAAATGAGAAACAGTACATGAATGTTTGAAAGATTATAGAATCCTACATCTGGTTATATTTTTTTACTTTTTTCCTCAAAAATTTGTCTATTATCTGAACTTATTTTGTAATGATTTAAATAAAAAATTATTTTACGTTTAGCTGTCAGATAGTTACACCGTCGAATTAATGAATAAATATTATGCGTTACAGATAACCGGAATGAATCAGAATTACTGAAGATTTTATTGCAACTTTATCTCTGTACTATGCTTTTTTATGTAGGGGTAGTCCTGAGATACTCTCTTGTATATAGGGGTAGTCCTGAGATACTCTCTTGTATATAGGGGTAGTCCTGAGATACTCTCTTGTATATAGGGGTAGTCCTGAGATACTCTCTTGTATATAGGGGTAGTCCTGAGATACTCTCTTGTATATAGGGGTAGTCATGAGATACTCTCTTGTATATAGGGGTAGTCCTGAGATACTCTCTTGTATATAGGGGTAGTCCTGAGATACTCTCTTGTATATAGGGGTAGTCCTGAGATACTCTCTTGTATATAGGGGTAGTCCTGAGATACTCTCTTTTATATAGGGGTAGTCCTGAGATACTCTCTTGTATATAGGGGTAGTCCTGAGATACTCTCTTGTATATAGGGGTAGCCCTGAGATACTCTCTTGTATATAGGGGTAGTCCTGAGATACTCTCTTGTATATAGGGGTAGTCCTGAGATACTCTCTTGTATATAGGGGTAGTCCTGAGATACTATCTTGTATATAGGGGTAGTCCTGAGATACTCTCTTGTATATAGAGGTAGTCCTGAGATACTCTCTTGTATATAGGGGTAGTCCTGAGATACTCTCTTGTATATAGGGGTAGTCCTGAGATACTCTCTTGTATATAGGGGTAGTCCTGAGATACTCTCTTGTATATAGGGGTAGTCCTGAGATACTATCTTGTATATAGGGGTAGCCCTGCAATATTTGAAGTGTTACATACATTTAACAAGGCAAGTCTTGAGTGAATAATGTGTCGAGTGAGTGTTTTTTTTTTAATTTACAGAATAACACACAAAACGAACTTATATACTCCATTACAGCGAATGAGGAGGTATTGCAAGGTATGCAGATGGGGTGAGCCTATACGGTCAAGAGAGGTAACTGAAAGTCTTCACCGATGAGTGTAATCTAACAAACTACTTGAGTTCGCTCGAACACGAAATTATTACTGATAATTAACCCAGAGAACCGACCTATATAAAGCAAGGTAGAAGTTCGGGAACTGTAAACATTTAAGGCCCTTTACATCATACCAAGAAACGGAGTTCCAGTTTTCAGCTGGACTAGTTCTCAGTCAGCAATACTCACACGCTGAGCCTCCTCGGCGATAACCAGTCCTGGGACAAAGATAAGATATTTTTAGTTCAGAATTAGCTTTTTCTACGTATACGATATAAATAAACATTTAACTAAGACATTAAAGTAGCAAATATTTCACACAACTCCTCGTTTGTAGTTTTACAGGTAGCTTAGAGAATGTGTTGAGGACTGACCCAGACAAAGAAGAGTGAGAACAGTCCTGAGTGCGGTCATGATGGTAGGAGAGCGGGAGTGGTATGTAGTGATCCTTCCTGTCTCTGTTGCCTTTTATACCGGCCGCTTCCAGCCTAGCATGACGGAGCTGAAAATCGGTTGTGTGACAGTATAGAAGTGCCCAAGACTATCCATTGTACCTCGTTCTCGCTTCACAATGCTGAGCTGTTTTGAATCATTCAGCTCATTCATCAGCACCTTCAGCAGTGTTAAGCAACACCTGAGAGCAGTGGCCTGATATGTGCTGCACAGATTGGTCGTCCAACACTGATGGTGATTAATAAGACATGTGCAGCACCTGGGTACCAATGAGGAACGTTTCACCAGCAGGGACCTCACCAATCTAATATCATATTAATGATTTAAAAACCGGACAAACAGATGAGTAAGACACATGTGCAACACTTGTGTATCTTTACTGGAGACGTTTCACAGACCAGTGACTTTATCAATACATTACAGAAAACAGTCTGAAGACGGTGGAAGACACGATGAAGAATGAGGTGATCAATCTATCAATCTTTAAGGGCGTGTAGATGGTAGAAGACTTACTTGAAGAAGCAGTTTGAGGTGATCAGCCCCTCAACTGTGTTCGGTGTTCAGCTAGCAAGGCTGAGGGAGGGACTGATCACGTCAAACTGGTTCTTCCAGTCATTCGGTATACCTGTATACCTGCTCATTAATGCAAATATCTAATCAGCCAGTCACGTGACAGCACCTCTATGCCTAAAAGCAAGCAGTAAGCAGACATAATCAAGAGTTACAGTTGTTGTTCAGACCGAAACATCTTGCTTTACCAACTATAATTTGTAGGGTTTCTCGTACCATCTACTATTACATATCCTGACCTGTTGGAACTAATCCTGGGGGACCGCTAATTGCACTGCATTGCATCTAATAATATGAACTAAGAAAATCGATATTCTGGAAAAGTATGAATTTGTATATGCAACAAAATTAGATGTGTTTCTGTCGCTGCACGATCCAAGGAAGGTATCCCGGTATTCCATAATCCCAGTATCTTGTGCCTTTATACACGCGACTGAAATAGTGCAGAGTGCGGCATAAGTTGATGACTGAGTTAAATATTAGTAACGAAGATTTGAAGGGAATCAGAAGAGGCATTCAGAAGTCATCAAAGGGGGTTACAAGTATCTATGGCAGGTTAAATCACCACCACCAGATGTAGACCAAACGAAATGTAAACTGCCAGATGGACTATTGTCACACCTTGCGTCATTATGTACTGGAGTGTGATCAAATTAATGAATTTAGAAACAACTCACTCAGAAATGTTCAAGAAATGGCAAAGTATTTTATCCGCAGTGGTATATTACAGACCATTCTGGAGAAATACCCTGACTTTGCTAGCTGTAAATAATGCATTACCATGTGTGTGTGTGTGTGTGTGTGTGTGTGAGTGTGTGTGTGTGTGTGTGTGTGTGTATGTGTGTGTGTGTGTGTGTGTGTGTGTGTGTGTGTGTGTGTGTGTGTGTGTGTGTGTGTGTGTGTGTGTGTGTGTGTGTGTGTGTGTGTGTGTGTATGTATGTGACTCAACAATCAATATTTGCACCAATAACTCATTACAGTTGTGACCGGGTGTGGAAGTGTGAATTGCTCATTACACTATAATTTGTTCATGATTGTAGCCATGTATAAACGTAAGTAATCATTCTTACAGAATTCATTACCTTTGTAACTTGTGAGCTCATTACCTTTGTACCTAGTTCAGCTATCAAAACTTTGGGGGCCCAGTCCCTGGACCCATTACGTACCTCTGTAATCTGTAAATACCTTTGTAACTTGTCATGATTGTGACCAGACCTACCTGGAGTTCATTACCTTTGTAAATTGAGTTCATTACCTTTGTAAACTGTGAGTTCATTACCTCTGTAACTTGCTCAGCTATCAAAACTTTGGAGACCAGTCCCTAGACCAATTATGTACCTCTGTAATCTTTTGACTACCGCCCACAGGATGGGTATGGGGTGCATAATAAACATATTAACTAACTAACTAAACACAAATTTACTTAATGTGTAGTGGATTATAATTATTACAATATTAATTTGGATAAGCTAAGTCAAGTGTGGCTAAAGATTATATTAATGTGTATAAGTGTATGTGTAATTGATAAGCCAAGTGTAGCTAATTATATTAATGTGTATACTAATTTTGCAAAGCCAAAGTGGCTAGGATTTATATTAATGTATATGTATAATATTAATTTGATAAGATAATTCTGGCCAAGATTTATATCAGTGTATGTGTAATTGATAAGCCAAGTGTAACTAATATTAATGTGTATAATATTAATTTTGCTATGCCAAATTCTGGCAAGGATTTATTAATTTGTATAATATTAATTTTGATAAGCCAAGACTGGCTAAAGGTTTGTTTTTATTAATGTACATTTAAAATTTATATTATAATTTTTTACATGTAATTGCTGAGCTTAAGTAGCTGGGATTTATTCAAAGGTAAGTTGTATCAGTGTTGTAAATTGTAATCAGTGTTATTTATTGGGTTGAATTTAACACATTGCATGATGGCTGAAAATGAGGAAATTAATATAGAAGACAAACATATGGAATATAGAGCAAAGAAAGCATCACTGCAGGCTAGAAAGGGTCATGTAACCAAGGCATATAATAAATGTTTGGAATTAATGAATCAAGAAACTGTAAATATTGATGATTTAAAATTGTATTTAGATGCTTTAGGTAATAGATATGATTCATACAAATTATATTACAACAAATATGAAGGAGATTTGTTAGTAAACTGTGTAGATGATACTGAAGTAGATCTTATGATTAATCAGTATTATGAATTAGAGGAAAAGATTCTTTCTTGTAAAAGTCAGGCCTTGAATAAATTAAAATGTGTAAACCAGGCAGTTAATCAGTCTGCTCCAACAAATAATATGTCTTTGCCAAAACTCCCAGAATTATGTTTACCTGTATTTAATCCTGGTGAAAATTGGGAGGAATTTTGGTCAATCTTTAAAGCAGCTGTGCATGATAGGAGTGACCTAGCCTGTGTAACTAAATTATTTTACCTAAAAGGACAGGTAAGAGGAGATGCTCACATACTCATACAAGCCTTTTCTAATGTAGATGACTCTTACAAGGAAGCAGTTGACTTGTTGAAGGTCACTTATGGTAAAATAGAA